AATTTTCGAGTTTTATTCATAAACTAGTTCGCGTTTAAGCATCCCCTTCCGCCCCGGTGTCTCGCGACGCAATAAGAATTTTATTAAACGCCGCGGAATGTTCTATCTTGCAATTCTCTTGGATGCCCTTATTAAATTTTCATCGATTTATCGACGCCGCGGAAGTCGTCGGATCGCTCGATCTTCGATGGCAAATCCGGGAACGCTCGTTCGAACATTTTTCAATTATCGAGAGAAGCAATAACGAAGCTAGGAAATCCCCGTGGCGTCGAAATATTGTTTAAGACGCGTACTTTAGACGTGAGAATATTTTCGGATCCGAGGCGCGATGTTCACTTTTAAGGAGCGTGTTCCAGAGAATTTTCATCCGTCGCCGATTAAAACTGCAACGGTGTCGAAACGCAATCTCCGAGCGTGGACAGGCGACGACGTCGGCAAATATTTTCGTTCGCGTTTACAACAGAGTTTCCAGATGAACTCGTCGTGTCAATAGATCGCGCGCAGAATTTGTTCGACGCGGCGTGCGAATCGCGCGATCGAATTAAAAAACGCGGCCCTGGTAAATTAAGATAGACAGCGCGCTGTTTCGAGCGTGGGGTTTCATCCGAACGTATCAACCGGGGGAAAACATTCGTTTCGACGCAAAACGTTGCAAGCATCGAGCCGTGACGCATGGAGCCCTCCGCTTTGCTTAAAATAAAATAAACCGCCATCTCCGTGACGAAATTACTCGAATAAAAATAACAAATTTCTCTTGCGGTAGTACACGAGAAAAGGAAGAGACTATATTCAGAAAATTCTAATTCGTCGTAGAAGTGTAAGTGGTGCAGGCATAAATTAAGCGCGGCATAGGGTAGTTTCAACGCGGGTGGCGTGAACGAGTATGGAGGTGATTCTACGTTCAAAAATGAGTCGAAAGTGTGGAATACAATTTGTCCGTATAATGCACCGTTTTTGGGAAAATTGATTTTGAAAATTCATGGGACTAGTGGAAAGAGTGAATAATGGTCGGACGCGGCGGCCATATCGTATTCAATCGCGAGCGTAGCCGACAAGTTTTCGAATTCAGTTACCTCGGAAACGAAGCATTATAGGGGGAAATTTTATTCCACATTTTCGACTCGCTTTTGCGAGTAGAATCGCATCACCTGTGCAAAAATACATATGGCCGGACAAGTTCTAATACAATCCTATCGGAATCTGATTTCGCGTCGCGTACCGAATTCTCTCAACGTTGAGTTACCTAAGTAAATTGGTACATTAATTCCATGTAGTTCATGACTCGATAATACATAGAATGTCATTTACATATAAATTTAATTACAGGTGACCCAAATCCTGGTAGAATCTGGGCATAAAGGATACCCGAAGTAGTGGCTCGAGGATAGACAAGTTGGAGCAAGAATAAAATAGTCAAAATGCTTAAAAAAAAAATCGTGACTTGCCGCCCAGTAAAAATTGTAATAAAGTGTACGGATGAGGAAATTTGGTGGTATAAAAATGAAGGACCCGGATGGTTCTCCTCCGAGTCTGCCCCTTTCGTCCGTTCTCCTTTAAAGCAGTCGATCGACCGGGTAAAACAAAAACGAATAGAACACGACCGATTGTTGACGTCGGCCATCGACGACCTCAATCAACCGATTAACGATACCGCGGCAATGTCGCTGTGTTATCGTCGTCGTCATCGTAATCGTAGTAGACGTCATCGTTGCCTGCGTCGCTGATCATCGAGGGTCGACCCTCTCGTTGCAACGGTGGCTGGCGTCCGTGAATATACCCTCAGGCTGGTAGCAAGCAGGCAGGAGGGAGCAACATAATATATTCCCGATCCGGTGGCTCGATGTTCTAAAGGCGACTATCACGTTGTGGTCGCCTAATTTACGATCCCGGCAAATGGACGCTGGGTTTAGTGGACGCGGCTTCGATACCCGTTCCGCTGGCTTCTCATTTCCTGCTGCGCGAAAGCCTCTTGAGAGTTTGTTATCGCCGCTGAAAATTGCACGCGGAGATCGTGGCACACAGGGTAGCGAGATTAACTCTTGGCGGTGCTCATTTTGCTAGTCATTGGGGGCGGTACAATTGTTAGAGTTAAGATCAGATTCTATCAGTTGGTGATTGCTGTTTCGTGGTCATCGATATTAGGAGGATCGTGCAATTGCATACGTTTCTCTTAATCGGACAGGAAGTCATAAATGGGATCAGAGATCGATAAGAGTGAAGAGAGATCTACCTATTGTTGATACCTAGGATTAGGGAGGATTCTGCCAACTGCTGGATAGATTAATCAGTTGCGTACGTTCCTATTAGTTTGACGGGATTAACGCGATAGTCGTTGTTACGACATTGCTGGGACTAGAGGGACTTCCCAACTGCTAACGATCATCGTTTCCTGTTAGACTGTATATCCATTTAAAACGATTCAGAGTGGAATTCGTTCGATTTTTGGTAGTTTTGGTGAAGAAACCCTACTCAGCCACGTCTCGATCCTCCCCCAAACAAAAAAACACGAGCCACATTGGGGGTTCCGGTCCGGTGGCAGCCTCCGAAGGGTCGTAAAGAGGTTTGGGCTGCCGGAAGGGCAAGGACGCCGGAGACAATAGCGTCTCTAGGCGTCGAAGGGAGGCCATCGAGGAGAAGAACCTAACCCAGGCGTGTTTTTTCGCTCGCGGACCGATCGGTCGATGGTCCAAAGTCGACTGTCGGGCCGCGGCGGTCGGGTGCTGGCGGCGTCGCGACGCCTGCGCGGAAGACCCCGGTGTTCCGTCAGACGGCGCCCCGACGCTGGTACCGTCGGACGGACCGGTCGGTCGGGCCACCAGTCAGCCTCCAGTTGAGCCAGCAGCTCTCTCTCTCCCTCTCGCTCCCTCCCTCGCGCCGTACGCACACACGGCTCGGCCGCCCCCTCCGCCCCCCTGCCGTCTCACGAGCAGCAAAGTGCGCGCGCGCGCGCTCGACCCCCGTCAGGATTCACGGACGCGTCGGTGTGGAGCGAGAGTGCACGCGCACATGCACACCGTCCTCTCTCCTCCTCCAGCCCTCAGTCGATCTCTCTCTCTCTTGCTCTCGCTCTCGCCCCGTCGCGCGCTCGCCGACATCCTGCGAGAGTCTCTATCCGGCGAACGGCACGAGAGGGAGTCCGAGTTCCTGGCTCGTCCCTCGCGGCTGCAGTGCGTTCCCAAACATCCACGAGACAACCTCGAAGTGTCCGGCACGCGCGCACGCACGCAATCGGTGCCCGCTAAGCTAGGGGGGCCACGAGGAGGACCGACGACGCTGGGGTATCGGAATTTCTGGGTTTTTTCCGGCGGCCCGTACGCGTACGTTCGCGTCTCTCTTTCGTACGCGCCACGACGAGCTTTCCCGCGCGTGTGCTCGCCGCGAGGAGGAGTCCGGAAGAAGGAGACCGTAACCGTGTGCGCGCTGCTCCGTGGATCATCGCGACGCGAGACAACGCCAGGACGTTACAGAGCCGCGTACGAAGGATGTCGTGAGAGTCGAATGGGTGTTCCCGTACACGGCGGTGACACTATGGCCGAGTGATCGCCGGGCTCCGATGGGAAATGCGTCGAACGAAGAGGCATCGAGGGTGTCAAGCACGGAGGAGAAGCTAGCAGCGTGACGCCGTCGGCTGTCCGGAATCTTCCGTCGATCGTCATCGAGCGAATGGTCCGTACGCGTAGGGATAATCGGTGATCAGCTGACGCGCGCGGTCCCACGCGTTTCCGGTGCGAGGACTCTGAGTCGCGAGCGAACGGTGTGCAGATCCTGTTGATCCCCAGTGTCGAACGAGGCGAGGGTTAAAGAACGAGCCGGTGGAGGGTTCAGGGGCGTGTGTCGACGAATCTCGAGCGTGTAAATAGGTGTACATAAGGGTCCGTCGACTCCTTTCTTCTCGTCCCCCCTTTTTTTACCCGTTCTCCACAGCGATCCCCGTAAGTAATAATCGACGCGTACGCGGTCAGTGCGTGCACCGAACTCCCCCCGTGAAACGGCGGAAAAAATCGATGTACAATTGTGTATAAAACGTGTTAAGGGTAGCTTCTAATAATCTCTCGATTTTCCGGTTTCGATTTCGTGTTAACGAAAAATACAAAACAAAAAAAAATAAATAAATTAATTAATTAATTAATTAAAACGTGTAAGAATACAATTCGCAAAAGCAAGTCGGAGCAGTACGGGTATCCAGCGCTTAGCCTTTTTAGCAGCGGCGCGATAATTAATTAGCTCGCGGGCGTCGTTGGGGCGCAAGCAACACGCCGAGCCGCGCGTAGAAACACTCCTGGAGGGGGGGGGAGGGAGGTGGGAAGAGGTCGGTCGTCGAACGCTCGACCGGGTCGCGAAGGGCGGAATAGCGTTTCCGACGCGTTTTCGTCGCGGTGGGACCTCGGGGATCGGCTCCGAAAATCATCCCGGCGTCCGGAGGCCGGTCGAGTTTAATCTAAAAAGAAGGTAAAAGAAAAAGAAAAAATAAGAAAAGGGGGACCAATTTTTCACGCCCGTTCGCAGTCTCTATCCCTTTCTTCTTCTCCGTCTCGTTCCATCTACTTTTATCTCCTTAATCCAGCCAAGCCAGCTATCCATAAATCTTTTCGGTACGCTCTTTCCGTATTAACTCCGTCATCGTGAGACCGGTCCAAAGGGGGCACCGAGGTAGCCGCGACTCACGCAAGCAATAAATCAAGGCCCAAACCTCCGGACGGCCGCGAGGACAGTGCGTAACGTCCATTGAGAGTGCGCCGGTGTGATCGAGGAACAGTGGTTCTCATACGATCGTGAAGGGCTACGGAGGCAGCACCGAGACACTGTCCGTTCGCTGACGATGCCATCATCCTGAAACGGGCATGACGCCCCTGGCCTCGAGATGCGACGAGACCACCACCATCCTGTTGCTGCTGCTACTCGAGCTGGCACCCGGAGCACGCTGCTATCCGCGCGCGGCCGCCGCGTCAGGCCCGACTTCGTCGAGATAGCATCAACAGTCGACGGCGAGGGTGCGAGTGATGCCGCTCCTCGGCAGCATTATGACCATCGACGCCAGTAGTTCGAGCACGGCGTCCACCAGCGTCTTCGAGGAGAACATGACGTGGTCTCGACCAACAGGTGGCACTACGTCTTCCGTAAACGAGGCCCACTCGAGTACCGCGATCCCGAGCGACGAGCAACATCCCGGAGGACCCAGCGAGCCGAGCCGTCGGCCTGACGAGCAACGATCCGAGAGGACGGACTGTGCGTGCGCCAGGCCCGACCTAGGTGCTCGATTCGTTGCCGAGGACAGCGCGTCGGGGCTGCCTTTCCTCGTCGGTGACGAGAACGACGAGCTGGACGTCGCAGGGAGCGGCGAGGGGAGCACCGTCGGTCTGAACAGCACCGCCGGCGTCAGCACCGACAAGGACGACGCCGCAGGACTGAGGGAGCTAGAGCTGCTGTTCGGTTTGGGCGGGATCATGGAGGACGTCGGACCGTACAACGACTCCTTCAACGAGAGTCTGGTGTACTCGTGGAACAGCAGTCTGAACAACGACACCTACATCGTCTACGGCGGTAGCCTGTACCCCTCGGGCTACACGATGCCGCAGATCGTCCTCGCGTCCATCCTTGCTACGTTGTTGATGATCGTGATCGTCGTGGGTAACATGCTGGTGATCATCGCGATCGCCACCGAGAAAGCGTTGAAGAACATTCAGAATTGGTTCATAGCCAGCCTGGCGGTGGCCGATTTTTTTCTGGGCCTGGTGATCATGCCGTTCTCGTTGGCCAACGAGATCATGGGATACTGGATCTTCGGCTATTGGTGGTGCGACATATACTCGGCCATGGACGTGTTACTGTGCACCGCTAGCATCATGAACCTCTGTCTGATCAGCCTCGACAGATACTGGAGCATCACGCAGGCGGTAGAGTATCTGAAGAAGAGGACTCCGGCCAGGGCAGCTCTGATGATCGCTCTGGTGTGGCTGCTGTCGGCTCTGGTCTGCATCCCGCCGTTGTTGGGCTGGAAGCGACCCACGCCGGAGGAAGAGTACCCCAAGTGCAAGGTAAGGCCAGCTCAGAGCCTTTGGGTTCCTCGGTTAGTCGATGGGAAACCGGACGATGAAGTATGACGGACGCGTAACGGGACCCACACAGGGTCGACGACACGCGATGATACTCGACACCGGTGCACGGTTCCGGGGTAGGTTAAATGTTTAAAACACAATTTGCTCGGCGAGGTCTCGGACGAGGCGAGGCCGATATCGGGGAGTTAATTATTTCCTCGAGACACTGGATGCGTTGCAACGCCGCTGTTGTGGATGACAGATTGCCGGATCGCGTTTCACTTTTAACTCGTTTGCATCGTACGGAAGAAATGAAAAATGCGCCCTTATCGCTACGATTTTTCTTCCTTTTCTTTCTTCCGGAGATTTATATACAAATATTTTAATACGTCGATGATGCAAATGGGTTCCCTTGTGTTTCGAGACGATAGACTCTAGTTTTGGTGTCGTAGGGTTTGAGAAAACGTTGGAAGAAAAATGTAGTTTCTTTTTGCGAGGAAACCCACCCGAGACGTGGAATTAAATGGCCGGGGGAATCACCGTGAAAATTGCGCGGGATGAAGAACGGTAACGAGGCGTTCAATGGTCCTCGATCCCCGTTGCAAAACAATTTATCCGTCTTCGCGGCGACTGACAATCGCGCCTGATGTTCCTCGACCGTCCGATTCGACGGCTTAACACGCCGAAACCGGTCGATTAAGCACATAATTACTCGTAGAAGTTGAATTCATTGTTTGCCTGCCTGGAACGACGGATTACTTGGGACGGATCGAGCTTGGGGCTCCGATCCAAATGCATCGAATTAAGTCTCGAAAGACGGGGGAGTTGGATCGTGAAGATAGGGTTAATTCTTGTCGACGAGTTTGAGATATATTCCGACTCGATCGTCCTAAATGTCAGGTGCGTCATAGAAAATGTGTTATTTTTTATAATAATATTAGTTCCATCGACTAGCAAAAACACATTTTGAGGGTAGTTTTAGTTTCAATTCAATATCGAGTAGTTGCTTTGTCGTTCGTGATATACAGAGGTCTCGTGACACGTCTTAGGTCACATTAGAGGATTGAAGAAAATTAAATATTTGTGAAAATAGGTTCTATAATTATTCCCTTCCATCGATGTAAGGTTAGAAGTATTTTCACGGCGTGTCCTGTAGCGGTCACGTGACAAGGGTGGGTACAGGACGTGGATAGGGAGTATCGGACGGGTTGCCTTTTATGCAGCGACGAAACCCACCCTTATCCCGAACCCCTCGAAACTAGCTTACGTTGGCCTGTACAAAACGCCCTGCACGATTGGATTTCTATGCCCGACAGTTCGGTCCACGGAGCTGACTCCTACGACTTCGCAGCATTTTCCTTTTCTCCAAATGCAGTCTCACCCTTGTCTCGTATCTTTGTATTTTTATTTTTTCCCCCATCGATATTCCGCTCGTCCACCTTGTCGATATCCGACTTATAAAGGGAAACGGTGCGTAACTTCTTTTATTAAAGCTGCACGGCGTTCGAACGAAACGGGAGCCTGAACGGAGCTTAAATGCACTTTCGTGAATTTTATTCTTTTTACGTTGTTTTACGATTTTTAAACTCTCGTCGATCTGTTCGAGCGGCTCCGCGAACGGTTCGTTCGGAAAAATGGATTTCGCTTGCGGTCGTTCGAACGACAAAGTTTATCGTACCCATTGATCACGTTGTTTGTTACTAATTGGAGGGCTCGTGCCGTCCGAGCGGGGAACGCGAGCCCTTCGCTGTTTAATTAACCCTCGCTCGTGACCGGAACGGGCAAGTTTTTTTCGGCGCGAATTTTTGGTATCTGCTCCACCGTTCGAACTCGAATGCGAACTCGCCGGGGCGTTATTAATACGTGCAATTAAGTCTCGAGCGATTCGGGGCTACCTGTTGTCGGGCCAATGAGCCCCCAGAATGCGCTGAAAAAGTTTCGAGACCGGAAAACGATTTCTCGGTTTCTTCGTTCACTTCCGAATTCGCGTTTTCGTTGCTTGAAAGCAGCGAATATCGAATTTACACCTTAACTTTTTGCAGTAGTGAGAATTATGTTAAAGGCAATTTTTCAGTCACACTAGTCAACCTTATACAGGATCATTGCTTATGTACATATAAAATACAGTGACATACTTAATTGTCGCTGACAGAGTTTCTGGATCGCGTCGTTCCTTCCATCTGGGAATTTCCATATCACATGATTAGCATCCTGTTCTAGGTAGTCACGTCGACACTTATGATCGCCCGCTAGATTAATTACACTGCCATACCTATCGCGAGCAAACACGTGTAGAATTGGAAACAGTAATAGTCGGGGAAATGAGAAAAATGACACACCTGAAGAGGCGTAGGGACAGTAAACAAATTTTTCTTTTTAAAATAATATTATTCCAGTACTTTGAAGACATTTAGTTTAGCAAACAAGAAAACGTGAAAATTTTCAGTGCGTTTGTCGAGTATAGAATTTTAGTTTGCATAGAAGTCGAGGTAATTTGAAAAGGTTTGGAAACGCTGGTTTGGTAAAGTGTACTGAAAATGTACTGTCTCCGCCAACACAGTATTAGTTTGTTCTCTCTGGAGCAGAGTGTGCACGTGAGAGAAGTCACGTCGAAAGCTCCTCACGCTTCTCGGAGTCTATATTTTCTAAACAATTAAGGAGCCACACCAGGCTCGTCTGAGACCTGTGTTTTCTCAGATAAGTGTCGAATGTTTAGACTGCAAACACCGAGTGCCGTAAACTGCGATGTTTTCAAACAACCGTGTCAGGGTTAATTTTGAAACAATTTAAGGGTTGTTACACATTATTTCCAAACGAAACAGAAAATATAACTACCGATGGCTATAAAATGAAACTTAGAATTAGTGAAATTGTCGTTTATTTGTTATTGTTCACGTGCACGAGCTGGAACAGTTCTAAAAGTAGAAGGATCAAGAAACGAAATGTCACAGGTCCACGACAATAAAACGGAAACATTTCGCGCTAGATCATGCAGCAAAATGCAGTTGTGCCGTGCGAATGTATTATTAATCAACCGGCGAAACGTGACAAAGTGAAACGAATTCCGAGACGTTAATGTCGTACGCAGTATTACATGTGTTATGCAGTGGAAGGTGCATATAAAAACGTACTTAACTCGAAGCCGTTATTACGCGGGGCTTTAATAAATAGCACGGTCAGTTTCTCGGGGTTGCTTTAACGAGGAGAGTCAATTTTAGAAACGTCGTTCTTTGTGCTTGAGAAATACTTTGAGAATAGTAAGTGGGATATTATAAAAATATCATTCCATCAATTTAATGTTTAATTCGGTGTATCTACGATGTCAATGAAACAACTCAGTACATATTGATTTCATGTAATGAATATAATATAGTTTGGTATTCGAATGGTACTCGAATTATACTCGAATATAATCTATATTTAAATATTCGACTAGAGCATAATTCGAATTATATTCGTCAAATATTTGAATCTCTGAAGTGTTCCACTCACGTTTGTGGAATATTTGGATCAGTAGAATGTTCGAATACAGAAAAACTGTACGAGTAGCGGGAAGTTTCGGTCGGAACTCTGTTGCTTATCGTGCACCGTATGTAAAACCGCGCGATGCGATCAGGAAATCTCGATTCAAAGTCCAGTAACCGTGAGACCTCCCGCGGAAACTTGTTGCAACGTCCGTCCAACGGACAGCAGGCCGGAAGTGTAAAAATCGCATTTTAACTTACCGAGCGTTATCGCAGCTCGGGGTGGCAGTGTATCGTGACTAAGAGCGACCTGTTATTACGTACACGCGAATCTCTTCCGTGTCACGGATCTAACGGATCGACTAATCCGAAACGTCTGCACAAAAAAGAAAAAAAAACAAATTTTCGCCTCCGTCCTGGAGGTCTGAAAATGTTAAAATTTCCATCGCGTCGCTTGCTACGAAACTTGATAAACGACACTGTTACGCAACGTTTAGACTAAACACTCGAGGCTATCAAGTGCAGTTTAGAATTTGTTTATATTTCCATTGCTCTTTAGTTAGGCCTTTCAATAGGGCTTTCAAAATCATTGCCAATCACACATCGTATTCAAATAATCACATTCGAATACCCAAGAATACACATTCGAATGCTTTCAAAGTATTCGAGTATTAAATTACTGGATGTTCGAACGATCATATTCGAATAATCACATTCTAGTGCAGATGTTCGAATAATGATATTCGAATACCCGAATGTTCGGAGTTAGTGCTAGGTACTCGAATGCTTCCAGCGTATTGGATTACTCGACTAGTGCTCTACTCCGCGCTAGGTAATACCAAATTCCCTCTATCAACCGAAGAAACCGGTAGACGAGATCCTGCGACAGGGAACAAGGCGTCGCTTGACGCGGAATCAACGGGCTAAGCCTGTCGGGTTAAGCCGTTCTTGTTGACTGAAGTCGGCATTAAGTTCGCGCGATACGTCTCCAGTGTAAAATCCAGCGCCGCGCGCCATTAAGCGGTCGCATCCGCGCCACGAATACGTGTAATGCAAGAATAATGGCCCGTGTCGCGGATCTAATGGTTTATTAAGACGGTTTGCAATCTCCCGGCCGCTTTATTAGGCACTGTCGGCCCCGGCTATGACGTCGCGTGCACCGAGATTGGATGGATTTTGCTCGAATACTCGAGGACTCGCGGAAAACGCGGTTTCCTTATTCATTTTGGGCGACCGTGTCATTGGCTTTTTCGGCTACCTTCTTCGCACGCGATTATGCAAATTTAAAGGAGACATTAGAATGCGCGTTGACAAACAGAACAAAACATTCCTTTGTTTCGACTGCACCGTCAATTGTTCCAGACTTACCATTCGGACGATATTAAAATCAGCTAACATTGGAATTGTTGAAGACTTAAATCATCTTTACAGAAGATTCTCAAGATTTAAATCACAGTTTTTTAAATTCTTAGAAACGTCTACTAACGCGTATTGAAAATACTAAAATTTTGAACTCGTGCAGTTTCGAAACTACTA